ACTCGCAATGCTAAAGCACTAAGAGGTTCAATAACTTCGGCTTAAGATGGTCTTAACTGAATACATTCCAAGGATGTAAGTGGAAACACCTCGTCCATTTCTCTACTGTCCCTTTCAGTAAGTCTTAGTAAAATCATCCAACACCCAAAAACGTTCCCTCTCCCTTTTTTACTTGAAATGCTAAGCAGTGTGACGATCGGAATAATTGATGAACACAAATTGTATTACTAGTAGTAATGGGGGACTAGCAGTGACCATCCTTGACACTGGTGCTCTAGTTTGTAGCGCACTTGAACAACAGCAATCGCAAATGTGTTCCTTGTTCCAAAATTCACAATAGATAACTTCATAAAACCTCAAGCAGCTGCAGAGGATTTTTCTTTTAGCCAATTCCAGGTTGTTAGATTTATGTGTAATTAACATACTTGGATCAGCGTGGAAATCCGTGAGGTCACCAAACCACTGAGAAACGACTGAAAGTGGTAATCAACAGTGACGTTTGAGGGGTTGATGAAAACGGTTGCTTGACCACAGTCACCGTTGTTTCAAACCGGTTGAAGAACCCGCACAGTAATCTGAGTATTTAATACGCTGAAAGATTCTGTAATTTATTTCCATATTTGGATTTTAAGAACTGTTTACATGGCCACCATCGACAAAGTGCCTACTGGGTGATATCTTAAACTAGGCGGTACAAGGCAATGCCAGCATTTTATCTTGATTGGCTGCTCTTAAATAGATGAGCGAGAACCTAGAGCTAGTTGGAAATGCATCACAATGCCACTTTAAACATGAAGAGGGAGTGAGAAACAACCTGGTATGGCCCCAAGTAATCTAACTTCGAAGTTGCAAGTTGCCTTGAGATTCAGTCAGCTGATTTGTTCTTCTGGTCGCGGATGAAGCCACTAAAGAAGTCTGTTTATTCAGGTTACTAGATAATAACATGGCTTAGGGAACTCACTACTGATTTAAACCAGCAAATCATTTCTTTAGTATGGTACACTAGGTTCATTCATGGAATCAAGTTTTCATATTTCATATCCTAATCAGTTCTTTAGTGACCCCACCTATACGCTTTTCGCCTATTCACCACAACTCAACTATACTACATGGCCTCACCTGTTACGGATTTCAGTATGTGCATGGTTTGGATCCGGTTTGGATTGCATTCTGAAACCTCCTGAAACCAATTTTTCTTGACCCATGTCTTTGCCAATCTCAGTCGTGTTTCTCCAATTCCAGTAGACCATTCGGTTAAGCACTCACTGGTCTCCGTTCAAGTTCCTTCGAAAAATTGCCTTGCCTGCTTCTTTCGAACTGGATGTACCTCTGGCATGATTATCATTTCGTGTTTCACTTCCAACTAACCACACACTCGAATTCTCCAGGGTGTGAACCCCAATCCTCATCCTGTGCGTGGTTCATGATATCACTTAGATGAGCTGGATAGCAATTGATATTATCTTGGTTTCTCGTACGTGGGTTGGTCCATTATATGATTGTTCATATTTTCAATCACCTACGAAGTCGAATGTGTTCGCACTGAGTACACCTGATTGAAATGCAAGCATGTGTGATAGAAAACATCAAATCAATGCAATAAAATACGGTAAGTAAAACGGTGCCTACAAAAAACATTGTCGATGATCTAACTCCATTGATCGACCAGGTGAGAGTTCTCCGATTTCTCTGACACCGGGAGAGTAAACGTGATCAGTCACATGTCTTTCTACCCACCTCGTTACAAATGCACATATAAATGCAATTATGTGAATGCTAAACGGTTGAAACCTGCTTCGAAATACCCGACTGCATCACAAAACTTTCTCATTCACAGTCTGCTGTCTATCGGTTTGTCCTAAAATAATAATAATCCACATATTAGAATATTTCTGTGAGGTAATGCATTATTTCACCCGGATGTACCATTTCCTTTCATGCTTCATAATTTAAGTCTACCTTTTATTGCTAAAAATTCTAATCTACTTAGTGCACCCGGGTGTCCCTGATTCCGACCATGATCGACTGATGGAACCTGCCAAACAAAGCAGTTTTACAGCCTACGCAGTGTTTGGACGGCGAACGGCCCGCTCGCTGATTGGATAAACAAAGCGCAAACGCCGGAGCTGTCTGGCCTTCAATCGTGCATCGGATTGGTAAAATTTCTCGACCGTCTCGGACACAAAATAATGTTGCCGCATTTATTGACTGGGATTCATTTTTCGCATCGGCTAGTCGCACACGTGAGTTCTCTTTCCGTCTGTCGTTTGTACCTCTGATCGCGGTAGAGCTGATTTGTGCGTTTCAACTATTGGATATGAACCATGTTTTATCACCAGTTTTACCAACTTCAAAGGGGTATTCATATCGTTAATTTTGTGTTTTTAATTTGTTTGTTAATTGTGAGTTCAGGGAGATTTCACAACCCTACGCCATTTCATCCGTAATTCTTCTCTACTATGCGCGGTGTGACCATGAAAACTTATTTGAACCACTAGGGGTACTTTCAATGATGAACTATAGATGTACTGAACTACTTAGTTCTAATCCTTAAACAATGATTGCGGTATTCACGCGCTAAATAAAAAACTATTTTTATCATTCGTCGGTAAATCGAATGCTGTTCCCTTCCCTGCATAGATTATCCTCATTTTGGTCAAAATCAAACCCCTTGGTGAAGTAACGCACAATTAACTACTCAGTGTTTACGTGTTCACTTTGAATTTACACAAATTTCCGTTCGATATTTCATTTATCAACAACGAATAATCACACTTCTAGGACCCAACAACAACAAGAATTGTGTTGATGCAGCTATCGATTATCGGTTAGGTTTTGGCAACCCGAAAAATATCACGTAAATTAACGCATTTGCGTACGTAAGTATTTATGCTTCTAATTGATCGCAGATGTTCTCTACCCTTTAAAGACAACTCCATTTGTTCACGAACGACGTGCAGAGCAAATTCTATTCTAATATGTAAATGTATCATTTTGCTTGTTTTATTGTTACCTCTGTTTCTTACACACGATATTGCCTGAGAATCGAGTTCATACAGGCAAGAGAACCGTGCTGAAATTTGTCGAAAATAAAGTGTGCTCTGAGTTTTTTAATTGTTCTTGTAGTAGCTTTGTGTGTCACACTGTGCAACAAAAACGGAAAGCATCGCCACTGTGCTGTTTATACCCCCTAGACTGGTGGTGCTCCTTCAGTTTCCCGCAGGTATCCACTTTTACACAGTCAGCTTATCCAAGATATTGCGTGTTAATCTCATCTTTTGTTTAGACAGTTAACTGCATAAATGGGTTGTGTAACAGCATGTCAGTTGCATTCCAAACCCGTAACGCAATAACTACCACAAAAGTTCTGCTGACTAGTTTCTTGTTTAGCCTTCACAAAGGCTGGTTCCATAACCCGTCCTAAATGCATTCCTAACCCAGATAATCATGATTTCCATATTATAAGGCGCAGAATCCTTTTTTGAATGTGTTATGTTTTCATTTGACATATTAGTTGAACAAATAACCTTTAGTTAGACCTTTTCATACAGCTTCTGCATTTTGATCATTTTCATTGTCCTTTTTAAACGCTAGCATTCAAAAATTACCTGTAATTTTTAAGCTGATCGACTGATGACACAATAATACAATGAATGAGTGAATCCAGCGAACTTTTTACGAGCAACTTTTGTTTAAATATAAAGTCATACAAAAGTATCACGGTTTCCCCTCAGGATTATTGATCGAAATTGCCATTTAAAGATGCCACTTGTGGTTGGTCCAACGTCTCAACTGACGCTAATTTCTTCAACAAACAGATAAAAGCTGCGCGTTTCACTCCACAGTTGAGCATGCTTCTACCACGAGGGTAAAACATACACTCCCTGGGTTGGTCCTTTTCAAACTTGTTATGCCTATGACCGGTAGACTTCAGGAATTCAAGCAGATTAGTGCACAAACGAGGCAAAGCCCGGAAATAATTGGTTAGACAACAGAGATGAATACACTGAAATACCAATGAATGTGTGAACACCGTGTAGTCGTGGCAAGCAGATAGACCAAAAAATATTTCAGACACGTAAATTCCAGACAATTCGCTTCGCTTTTTGCTGAACCGGATACTGGATCAAATAGTGCAGCTGCTTTTATTTGTGAGGCTCCCGCACTGCAACAAATCACGTGCAAACTGGTCATGCGTTTTGTGAGAGATAATAAAAATACATTATTTTATGATCGGTGATAAGATAAATTGTTAACAAAAATTAACAAATTGCTCAAGAATGTTCAATGAAAAAAAATAAAGGAACAAAATAAGTGGAACCACTAATCGTACTGGTAGGAAAAACATTTTTATCGGCTTTTGTTGTTTGCCACATCATACAAAGAAAGTAATCGTAATTTTGGGCTGGGGAAACCTCCGTAGGCTCAATGGCATCCAAACTTATGCAGTTACTTGTAGCTCTGCTAACAGAACGTGCATTGTACAAAATCATAAACTGCGTCCCGGCGATCATTCAAATTCAACAGAGAACAGCAATCTCACAATCCAAACATTTTTCATCGGAAAACAGATGTGATGTTCGAGCTTAATAGGTTAAAGGATAGCCTTTGCAATCACTATACTATTCTTGTTTAAAACAGACAATAATTAAGATTCGCAAACGGTACTGGGATCCTCCCATGGATCGTAGAGCTTTTTTACCGTAGTGATAATTTTCCTCATGTAGGCTGACTCTTGGTAGCTTTTTCCATGTCACACAAAGTTGTACGAAGGTCGTCCTTCAAGTTGGTTAGATGTAAGATACTTCAATAGGGAGTGATTGATTCTCAGTACAGGTTCTGAAACTCGATTTCAAAGTATTTCTCTCTCTCTTTGACATTGATCATTTTAGATACCGATTTTTTTGCGAAATAACAAAGCCATCCTCCGTTTTCCCTCCCTATATCCATATATTCACTAAATAATAGTAACGATGGCACAGTGTGGTCACGGTATCCAAATGACCCTGTCCTGGATCCCCGAGGGCAATGGTCGTGTTCCCCGAAACCCGATTGACGCGGGTAATGGTGTGCTGGTCGTACGCGCACGACATGCTGAAGAAGTTTTACCCGGTAAATTGGTCCCTGGACAAGTGGTAGCACATGTGCCCTATGGTGGACAGGAATTCCCCGTGGACGAGTATGAGGTGCTCTGTGAGACCGGAATCAAGTGTGGAAAATGGTAAGTGAGCCATTTCACCTTAAGAACTATCCATAGTATTTTGTGAGTAGGAACTCGAAAGTCCTGGTTACATGGTTCTTGGTATAATTGCAAATCGTGCTTCATTATGGTTTTATAAAGTAGTAATTTCAGGGCAGCTCATTAGTCTTATTCTCGTGAGCATAGCATTCTCCTGGGAAACGCCGTTTGCAACCTCTGGACATGGTCCACAATAGCCAGACCGTAACCACGAGTCGACTGTTTTCATACATTGATCCATCACTAAAACACGCAAACTGAGAAAGAATAACAAGACATGCCTTCTAATATACCTGCTATCTCATCTTGCAACGATCACAATACTTTTTTCTTGTATAAACCAATAAAAGACAGATGATTCAGGGATATCGTGACTGATACATGTTTCATTCTCTTCAAAAGTGTAGAAGAATTCAAATTTCTCACAATTAAAGAATGTCCGATCATCCGTTTTATTCCCGCAAAATGAACACGTTGTTGAATTTGTTTATTGCTTGACATCGATTGGGCGGTGGTGGCCCGGTGGTGACGTCACCGCGTTATCACCCCACGTATGTGTTAGAATCCCACCACCTCCGCCTGACTTTCCGCGTTGTATTGAAACCCTTTGATTGACCGTTGCTCCCTTCCTGAAAATTGCATCTTTGCATATTCAATAAAAGGTATTAAAATGAAAAAACTGCCGTCCTTTCTGAACTGCGGACAGCACCCTTGGCTTGTTGAGCGTCGTATCAGTCACTCCATGCTAATTCATGGGCACATGAGTCTGTCAAACACTGTTCTTGGTTCATTATTTTCCAATCGAACGAACAAATGTCCTCCCTCCCCATTCCGTATTTATGATCCCATGGCACTCAAATTTTGGCCTTTCACTGACACATTGTAACTCAGTTTATTCGATATGTTGTAGCGTTTCAAAACAAAATAACTCAAATTACAATAGCCTAGAAATCAAACAAAAATACTCGGGTTATTTGTGAAGCTCTGAATCCGGAACATAATTAAAAATAACATTCAGTGTGCTTCCTAATACCTTACTTTTCAATACTTTAGCGAACCTTTTGGAGAGGTTTTTATGTAATAAAATTGTTATTGTTTTGTAGCTTTTGTTTGGGTTGAGATCCTCTCAAGGCTCCCAATCTGTTCGCGGTTGTTCCTCTGAAAAACTACACGGCCTGATTGTTTTGGATTCACGTTAGTGCTTCCCTACTGTAGCGTTTGCTAATATGAAGCATCTGTGACCGGACAACGTATTATGTGGCAGTCCACCTGCTGTTTCTCGACGTTCTCCTTACACATAGATAACGTCAGTGAATAAGTGAAAGGCGCAATACACTGGGAGCACGGTTGACAATTAACTAGTCTTTTGATGATGTTCTTGATGGGAGAAGTTTCAAATATGTTATGTGGGTTCCCTTGTTTCTCTCTCTCTTATCGCTGAAAACGAAATTTTGACCTACTGATGGAAGTACGAAGTAGCTAATAGATACAGTATCAAACTAGAAACTCTGTCACCTGATCACCTATTCACTTCAGTAATCTTTTTTCCGTTTTTTTACACAATCTTCGCCCTATGTTCCGGCGATTCCCATTGACCCATTTGTTCCTTAGTTTTCTGAACTAATGAGAAGTAGCTAGCAGTCAAACGGCGTCATTTTAGCGTACTATCCGTGATCGAATACGTTGAACATTGCAGACCACATTTGTGTAATTGTTATTCGCCACATGTTTCCCAATGCATCCTAGGCGTTCCCAATCCAACCGGGTGAAGTTGCACTTTTTCTATCAAGCACCACTTTGGACGACCGATACTGGTTGGACTGGATTGCAAATTCTTTGTTTTGTTTTTGCGAATACCTGCTAAACATCTGTCTTCGACATAACATCATTCGCAAACCTAGTAACCGACACAATTGAGGAATCTGTTTTGTGTGGGTGTTGCCCCAACCTCTACCAACGGAATTCCTCTCTCCTGTGCGGATAGAGACTACCTGGTTATGGATTGACTGAAATCGACGGATAGATCGATTTCATTTGTGTGCAAGTGTGTATGTGCATGGACACTAATGTGTTTTCAAGCTGCACCTGGAACCAATCAGATATCTTCTATAAATGGGCGCCAACTTAAACAGCACGAAACGGTGTGCACTTTTATCGGCTGGGTGCTAGCCCATTACGAAAACAACAAACACTGCAAGCGAAATCTCTCAAAAGTATGCTGTTGGGGTGCATAACATTATTACCAATCTTTTACATTTTCAGCGGCCATTTCATTCGACTAATTCTCCCCTTCGCGAATCATCAGAATGAAAGTGAATGTCTCTGGTTTGCACGTGGATATGTTTATATCGTCGATCATTTTTCAAGGCACACCTTTAAACGACAGAGTCAAAGCGGTCAGGCTGTTCCTATGGTTGGTGCAGACAGTTGGACAACCGAGGACACAGACATAAGTGTTCGATAATTTGAAATGGGGCCTAATTATTAATAACGGTGTCAAGTTAGAAATCATAACAAATCCAGGCTAATCTACTGCGCATAGTCATCGCAAAAAACAATGTATCAGGAAACGCCTACCGACATGAAATAACCTTGGAAATGAACATCGGTCGAAGAAAAAACTGGAGGATCATGTATATAAGCTTCTTGTCTTAATTTTGGACAAATCTTCTGATGCAATTTTTAGCTGAAGCAGAGTTGTCATCCGTGGTTCTTTGAAAGGGATCAGGGTAAAACGGCATTTATGTTTTCAATTCAAGGTTGTTCTTTATGTATATTAAGAAACACACATCGTCAATCATATTTACAGACTGGGGCGGTGATTGTTTGATACGCTCTCAGTAGCCAATGCAAATCAAGTCCAACACTAATTATTCATGCTGAGTCAGAATCATGTTTGTTCATGATGGCAAGATGAAACATCATGGGCTCAGGAAGTGTTAAATTCACCATTTCGTGTTACTCTCACCAGCCGTTTAGATCACGTTTGGCTGAAAGATTGACTTTTGAGGACAGAGGATCACACACGGGGAAAAGAAATCAATCAATAGGGGGGCCAAAGGTCATTAAATCGAACACTGGGCATGGGGGGTGGAAAGGGTAATCACTACAACTGCCAGTTCTCAGTTCAACCTAACTACAATTGCTGACGATAAGTTGAGTAGTTCCGACGGCGTCTGGTTGTGCCTAAGGCAGGAAAGCGTTAGGGAAGTAGCGAAGTTTGTACAACCGTGTTTCACTCTCCGTGAGTAAAAAAAATGGCGCGCGACACGGCGTCAGCTCTCTTAAATTGTAGGTTGCAAGATCGGTAACTGTATGCACGCAGACCTGGTCTACTATGCATCCATGGGCTACACGAAACGTTCAGGGCAGTTGAAAAACATCCCTAAGGTTGTTTAGGGTAACCTCTGCTCGATTAATTCAATAAACGATTCCCGCCTTCATCTTCAACGAACTGCAGATGAAACTGTGTCCTTTGGATGCTTCCTGTAGTAATTAAATCTAGTGTTGTTTTTTGCCCATAGATATTCATGAAGGAGTTCACATAACTTCCACCTTGTCCTGAGAGTTGATATTGTAAGCACTTCTTCCACCCGGCTACGGAATTTGATCTACGGATAAAATTTGGATATTGTTTATCTTTGGTAGGTTCATTTTCGCTCGACGAGACAGCCCATCAGCTTTTATGGTTCCAGAGCATTTGTCTGCAGTGACCATGAATGAACATCGGGTAATCTGGACCATAATCTCTACTCATTTTGCTCTTGCTCACACAAAGGAATTATCGGGATTTAACTGAAAACTAGTTAGATTGCAACCTCAAACAATAACAGGAGCTTTAGGATGATGGTACATATTACTCAAAACTGTGGTCCGTGGGGTATCTGTTCCGGGATACTCGATTGCCACAATCATTCTATTAATAACAGCCGTTCCAGTAGTTCCATTATCTTTTGCAAGTACATTTATAGTAATAAAACAGAGTACCTGTGACAGTTTGTGAAGATCATACTGTAGGCTGACTCACCTGGTCCTCTACTTCAAACACAACTTTTACCTTTTCCTGTTTTTGACAATGCTTAAACCGTTGATGCTCCTGTTTAACTCACTGTACTGACCCGGAAAGATGAATCAGACTGTTTCTAGGATGCCGTATTTGAGGAACTAATTCAAGTAATCCTGCTGCTCGTTTTCATGTTCAGCTACGAATGGGTACCTGCACAACACGGCCAAGTTCCTCAATACGCTGTGGTCGCCTCGCGGGCCAGTGACAATGCGCCACTTTACGTGGCTCGCACTCAGATGGAAGGAGATACCGTAGTTGGAAAAGTACGTCTCTTTCAGTTGTCCGTAGAGAATCTATATGTACTGTCAAAACTTTGTAAGATCGAATGGACATATTGTTCACACCACTTTACTTATTATCATAGTCTCAACACTTAATAACCTGTTAGGTTTGAGGATGCAAAGATCAATTAACAAATGCGAAAGTATTTGGTAGTTTCTAAACACTGTTTTACAAGTCAAGCCACAGAATGCTTTGTATACTCAAACTGTGAATTCTCAGCATCTTATTGGTTTGTTGAGCAGTGAATTTAAAAGAAATAAATACGAAATATTAAGAAAGAAATGAAATCGACAAAACAATATATGAAAATCTGAAGGTACAAGTCTTTCCTTAAGGCGGGTGACCATTGTTAAACGATACACTAAGAGATGAGCAAGGTACGAAATAGTATTGTTTCCGTATGTGAACTTGTATGGGCAGTTAAAATCGGTAACACGTTTGAGGGTCCAACACGGCTTTCGCGATGTCGTGATGCAGAAAGTGCTGTTCATCTCGAATTCTGCAACCGGTAGACATATACCATGCACCGAAAAGCTTGGAATCGAGAGAACGCAAAACGTTTGCATAATATAGAGAAATCAATTGGGAAGACTTTTACCTTTCTGACATGGATCACCTTCCGGAATTGAAGCTCGTCCTGGGAAAGACCATCTGGTTCATCATTAAATCGAAAATGAGACGTCTTGGTTCTTTAGTGTTGCGAAAAGAGCTGCAGCACATCCTACACAATCGCCGCGAGGTAAACCACACCGCACAACAGTTCTCAGTACCGAAAACGGATGCAACTTGCATTTTTTCAGCCGTCATACTTCAACTCTCATCAAAACAAATGGTTCTTTCATACTACTGCCCCTGTTGGTGATAGGAGCATGAAGGAATCGTCTAAGGAGTGACAGGAAAACTTGAGCTCGGATTTAAACCATTTCAAGGGAGAAAACCCGGTCATAGCGAAAATGAAGCTATTCGTTAAAGTGACCACAATGTAGGGAGTCGTGACTATTGGTAAACATAGAAACGTCGGTGGAAGAAACTGGGTCCCTGGGTAGAACCAAGATTTCAGAGGGAATACTTCCACTTCTCTACTCAGGTCACGGAAATAAATGATGTATCGATTTCCAATGCGCATTTTGTTGTATTTAATTCATTATGAAAAAGAATCTGTGGCGGTCGCCAAAGGTGTGATAACACACAAATTCTGTCAGTTCAAACAGTGACAAGCTCTAACAAGAATGATTTATCGGAATATGCCTACAACTCCTATGTGAGATGGGCCGTTAATCAGTCAACATCTTCAAACTTTCGATTCTCGATAGGTATTCCACCATCTGTTTAACATTCATTCTGATGGAGCTTTTTCAGCTCTATCGGACGCTGATTTCAAGAATAAACATGTTCAACACTTCCGTGATAAAATAAAAACTAAATTGGAACAAAGATGCCAAATCAGCATCGATTCAACTTACTTGGAGCTCCTCACGTCTGTTCTGAGTAATATTCCCCGTGGGATACAATTTTGGGCCCCCTAGGTTTCACTTTGATTCCCCTCAAGAGCAGTGTTTCTACACGGTGCTCAAATATCCAGCATTCAACTCATTAGTATTGTAAACGGGCATAAAGGATTTGCAAATTCACTCTGTCATAGAGTGCTTCTCAGTTTATCAAACGCCCTCAGTTGCGAAATAAATACACGTTCCAACTTAGGCATTAAATATCTCCCACTGATAAGAAGTGTGTCAATACCACAGCATGAATTCAACATCTTGTGCGTAAATGGCCAGCAAACTAGTATGCCTATATTTTGTATTTGAGCTTGAGCAGGTGATTCATAAGCTTTCAGTCAAACTAAAGAGAATTAAAACACAGAGCATATGAAACCGAGATCACTTGGAGTACGCATTATTTTGTAGAGCCCACGTAACTTCACAGAGGCTAGGATGCGCGTAACGCGGTTATGATGTGGGTCTCATTCCTTGGAATTTCATAAGGCTTCGTGTTAAGGCACTTTTTGAAGCGATGGAATAATGTGCTAACCGATAAAGACCACTGGACTGCTGTATCCTCTTTGTGTAGTATTTTTGTGCTCCCACCAAGACGGCCGTGGGCTTGACGCAAACGTGCTGAGAGGACATAGAAATAGGGAAAACAGCTGTCCCGTGCTCTTTATTGATCCTTATGAAATTCCATCAGCATTGTAACAGTTCCAATAGGAAAATATTAAATCTTGGCATTCGAAAACTGATGACTGGCGCTATCACTGTTTTCCTTTTTGTTTCTATTTTCACAGATAGATTTTTGCATGAGAGGAGTATCGATTAGCACGGGAATTTTCCAGCACAACCATTTGGCAGTAGATTGTACTAGTGGGATGACTTGAATTCGTTAATACTGAGGAATTGCGCTTTTTCTGTCAAGCTGAATGGACCTGATCAAGCCTCACTGGGAACACCTAACAGTCATCTGAATCCCACAACATGTCTGTCCATCTTTTTTCAAGATGATATATATACAAAAGACGATCTGATATCATACACCAAGATACAACACGTACTACGCCATCTCTTTAACAAAATTGGTTTCGACAGCAAATTTGATTCGCTTAGGTAACCGTAGTGACGATACATTTGGACTTTCATTATACTCCACTTAACGTTACGCGGCGTTCACCTTCCACTGACAAAAACGATGTACTATATTTATCACCGCTGTTAAATACGGTCCGTTTAGTGTCGCAGGTTTGCTGTTGATTTGCGTAAACAACTAACCGGTGCAAACCATCGTGTGGGGAATGTCACGACCGGACCAGCTGTTACACATACTTTGACCACTACACTTCCACACTAAAAAGATCACTGTGAATGTTAACAGTTCACAGGGACACTCGGAGTTTATTGTTTCCTGTGTTTCTGTTTGTGTCTGCCGTTCGGTTCTGTGGGCCCATGGCACCTACATGAACTCGTTTACTCGGGTGATGCTTTTATCTGACCTATTTTGTCACTTTTTAGGTACACGAAGGTCACACATCGGCATATTTCCCATTTGGCGGTAAAGAAGTACCACGTGAACAGTACGAAGTGCTGGTTTGGAAGATGAACTAACCACCCTTGGTTGAGATGGGGTCCTCATTGAATGGGCTCGTTCAAAGCAGACCCAAGTGAATGAATCCTACTGCTCTTTAACTGTCTAACACATCTTTTGGTCTTCGTTCACTCTCTTTCAATCTTTCAACTCGTTTGTCTTCATATTCTTGATCGCTTTATTTGTTTGACTTAAGTACGCTTTTCAAAGAATAAATGTTGTTCTAATTTCCACATGTGGTTGTGTTTACCCTATCATCATGCTCCACCGGTGCATCGTTATGCAGCAGCACAGCAGTAGCCATCAGATGCATTGTGTTCGCTTTGTTTCGCCGTAGCACAGAAGCGGTTATGTGACCTGAAATCGATTCCGTCTGGGACCGATGAACTCGCACGGTGGACAATGGTATAAAATAACATTCTACTAACTGTGCAGTAATTCTCAGATTCACATTAGCTTACCAACCGGTTCTTTCCTCCTAATATATGTTCGCTCAGAGTGCAGCATTGTTCATGAGGGCTTCCTTGGTTTCATTGAAACTTGGAGTAATAGGTATATTTGGAATCAGGCAAGATTTTAGGGTTATTTAGTTAGTTGGTATAATCCAAAAACTTCATGAAAGAAGCAAAGTTGGTCATTGTTTCCAATGATACTTCTGTGATTATATAGCGAAATTTGAAGAGGAGGGTGAAGATGTTTTACAGCCTTACCTATATAATTTAGTGAAGCAGGAAGTATTATACTGTATTGTGTATAACTTTTGCAAGCACTGAAATTCACACTCCAGTTAAAAAATCATACATGCTAACGGTGACCATGTACATAATCAACGGGGGATATTTCATAATCTAAGGTTAAGACGAAGTTCACTTATTTGTTTATGAGTAGACGGTATAGGTGAACTGCGGTAAGCGTTAATTCGAGATGAAATTTGGCGGAATCGCGAGCGTTTTGAATGATGGGAACGACAAAGTGTCAGTCCTGCGTGCAATCAGGATCTGTGAGAATCTTCTCAGCAAATTTCACACGTGATACTGTGAAAGCGGTGAAAGCTAACTCATTCACAGGAATAGAAGAGACACAAAAAATATTGGTTAGACCGTGGCATAAGACTTTAAAATCCTGTTTGAGTAAGCCAGAAAAAATAACTGGGGAACAGTAGAGTAAGGTGGGGAAAACACACTGATAAACAAAGGTAGAAATACCTGACTGGGATGCACGAAACTGCCTGAGCTTTCATATTTGAAATGACAGGCTCCGCAGTTTACCAATGCAGTTGTGGATGTGGGTTAACCAATGAAGATTGCTATCTATGGTTACATCAAGATATTGAACAGAGTTCACTCTGGATAAAGGATTGTTATTAATCACTGAGGGGTCTGTTGGATATGGGGAGTGAGCGAAACTATATAAACACTCAACACATTTACTGGGGGAGAATGACTGAATTTGATCAGGATTGTCGGTGAAAGAACTTAGATCAGAGTAAGCAGAAATGGATTGGCACAACACGACATCATCTGCATATTTCAAAATTCCTGCGGGAGAAACACAGGGAATATCACAAATATAAGTGGGAAATAAGTATGGGGATAGCACAGCTCTTCGAAGAACCCCGGAGTTGCTGATTAAGGGTTTCGATGTGGCCTTCCGCAATCTAGTGGTTTGTACTCCATCAGTAAAATAGTTGGATAGCCAAGCTAACAACTGCTCGGGGCATTCAAACGATTCCAGTTTTTGTAACAACTTAGACCGAGGAATGGAATCAAATGCATAAGAGTAGTCAAGAAAAACACACCGAACAAACTTAACCGAGTTGTTCAAAGACTTAGTGATAAAATGAATAGGGGTGGCGACTGCATCCAAGGTGAATGTTGAATCTGTAAGATAGATTCTGTTAATGTGGATCAACCAGGATAAT